TAATTAAAAGGCACCTCAGAAGTCGGAAAAGCTCATTTCCCGCCTTCTATGAATCAACATTTTCCTGTGGGAGAACCCCCGGACCCCCCTTTCTTTTTGAGTTATCGATCGATTTATCGAAAAAAAAGTCGTATGCAACTACTCAATTTTTTGTGTAGGCCTATGTATACACACATAAGGCCTATCTACTGTAAATGAGAAAAATTTACCTGACCGTTTTGAAGAGAGGAAAACCTTGAATTTTGAAGAACTTTTAAAGTCACTAAAAGATACTTCAGAAGTCAGGAAAGCTCATTTCCAACCATTTATATATCAACAATTTCCCGAAAAGAACCTGAACCTCCCTTTTCTCTTTGGGTTCACTGATTAATTATAATAATTTTCAAGAGGGGAAAACCTTCAATTTTGAAGAATTAAAAGACACCTCAGAAGTCGGGAAAACTCATTTCCCGCCTTCTAGGAATCAAAATTTTCGCGGGGGAAGAACCCCCGGACCCCCCTCCTTTTTGGGATTCATCGATTCATGGAAAATTCGCATGCAACTACTCTTTTTTTTTTTAATTTTTATGTATGTATACACACATAAGGCCTATTTACTGAATAACAATGGTAAAAAATTACCTGACCGTTTTCAAGAGGGAAAAACCTTGAATTTTGAAGAACTTAAAAGTAATTAAAAGACACCCCAGAAGTTGGGAAAGCTCATTTCCCGCCTTCTAGGAATCGAAATTTTCCCGAGGGAGGACCCCCGGACCCCCCTCCTTTTTGGGATTCATCGATTCGTGGAAAATTCGTATGCAACTACACATTTTTTTTTAAATGATTATGTATGTATACACTTAAGGCCATGGTAAAAAATTACCTGACCGTTTTCCAGAGGGAAAAACCTTGAATTTTGAAGAACTTAAAAGTAATTAAAAGACACCCCAGAAGTCGGGAAAGCTCATTTCCGGCCTTCTAGGAATCAAAATTTTCCTGGGGAGGACCCCCGGACCCCCCCCCCCTTTCTTTTTGGGATTCATCGATTCATGGAAAATTCGTATGCAACTACTCAATTTTTTGTGTAGGCCTATGTATACACACATAAGGCCTATCTACTGTAATAACAATGGGAAAAATTTTCCTGACCGTTTTCAAGAGGGGAAAACCTTGAATTTTGAAAAACTTAAAAGTAATTAAGACACCTCAGGAGTCGGGGAAAAGCTCATTTTCCGCCATCTAGGATGGACCCCCCTTTTCTTTTCAGCTTATCGATTCATTGAAAAAAGAATACGATATGCTACTACTCATTTTCTTAAGGTATACACACATAACAGGCCTATTTACTGTAATGAGAAAGTTTACCTTACCATTTTCAAGAGGGGGAAAACCTTGAATTTTAAAGAACAAAGTCATTAGACACCCAGCTCAAAAGTCGAGAAAGGTCATTTCCAGCCATCTAGAAATCTAAATTTTCCCGGGGGAGGAATGTTGACCCCACCACCTAGGTTTGATTCTTGATCTGCATGATTCATATTCCCATTCATCTTATAAGTGGGCCCCCCCCCCCACTTTAAAAAACGTTCCGCCGGCCCTGGGGCCTATGTTACTTTCTTTTTTAGGTTGTCATACCTTCTTTTTTAGGTTGTCATAATAGGCCTTTTATATTCGATTCGGAGTGAGTTGTATGACTTTATGGTTAAAATAACTACCTTCCAATCCCAGGGTACTGGGTTCAATTCCTGTCAGTGTTGCAGGATTTTCTCTCACGACCAAAACTAATCCACCCTAAACCTTATATGACATTTAGTTTGTGTATGCAAAGCATGTGTGTTTACGTCTGTTTGTGAAAGGGATTGTCATCTACGTACATTCGCTATTGGGAATTCTGGGCGCATGTGTGTGTCTAACAATATAATAAAATAATAATTTGCGATAGATTTGTCAATAAATAGGCCTAATTGTTGTGTTTCTATAGTGTTGATGGAAGTATTTACATCTCAGCTTTGCTGTTGGTACAGTATTTCTTCTTTAATCTAATAATTTGATAATTTAACATAATTATCATTATATCATTATTTCTATTAATCGTCATTAGATATTTACTTATTCCTGCCCAGCATGGTTGCAAAAGTCTCTAAGCAAACCAACATATAAAACACACACAAAAAAATGACAACAGGGACTGTGCATGATGTCATGACAAATATACATTCTAGTACCAGAAATTGTTGTGTACATAAACAAGGTTTTGTAATCGCGAAAGCTCCGATGAGGGCAGTATAATAGAGGCAGTAGCAGTAGAGTATATTGGCCTAACGGCCACCTATACACGGACGGGGACACTGCTCTAGGTGTGCCACATGGTAAAATCAATAAATATTTAACCCTTATTAAGGGGACACTTATTTTTTTCATCGTGTCACAAAAACTACAGCACATCTCAAAATTTTAAAAACAATTAAACTTTATATTTTGATACATTTTAAGCAATAAACTTTACATTAAACCAGAATTTTCTCCGCTGAATCAGTTGTCATCGGTATTGGCCCCTGATTGTTAATGTTTAAAGTGCCAAAATATTTGTGTTTGAGTTGGGCTGACGATCACGGACCAAAGATAATATCTGAATAATAAAGCAACTCGTTATAATGTTTTTGGTAATCTAAAATTCTAGTTTTTGTTGTCCTACACAACAATGTAAACATGAAAATTCTGTAACTTTAAGCAAATAATACATAGGCCTATCAACAATCTTTCTGTTCATGAGTTGTCAGAATATAAAGAGAATGTTAAAACAATAATAAATTGCATTCGGTTTATAATAAACGATAAACATTTAAAAAAAGGCTATATATAATAAGTACCGGTATACTTTATAAAACAAGTTAACATAATGTTACTGATAGTTTAACAGATGAAATAACATTAATTAAATTAAATTAAATATATTAAATGATGTAGGCATGTTATGCTACCAACAACCGTTAACAGATAATAAATAAAAGTAGGTGTAACAATCGTAGAAGAGAATCACTATAGGCACTGACTCCAAAAGTACTGTAAAGTACAGAAATGATACCGGTATTGCCGGAGTTTTTTGTTTTGTTTATGCAGACAAATATGGTTATACAAAACGATAAGCAAGTAGGTGTGATATCGAAATTCCAGAAGAGCAAAAATAATAAAGGTATATCTGTTTTCCTTTCTGTATTTCTTATGCAAACCCGGATTTAAATTTTAATTTAAAAAAAAAATAATAATAATATGTTCTGCCTATAACGTATAGGGTAATGAACATAACCTGATAAAAAAAATCAGTAGGGAAACTAGAAAAAATACATCGAAAAAAGTAGGAACATAGCCAGAGGAAATAAATCGATTCCATGGGTACTTACATACAAACCTAACATGCACATTTTCATTTTCTATACATGTTCACACGCGTGATAGTTCCTTAAAATTAAAAATTTAAATCTAAAAGTAAATAGACATTTTGAGAATAAGGACAAAAAAAACAAAAAAAAAAACGTTCCACCCAAAGCACAGAAATTTCTCTTTGGATAAAGTTGAAACTAATACAAAAACAAACTTTATTTTATTTGAGATAATTATTTAAATTATATTATCAAAACATTAGAAAATTCAAGATCAAATAGGCCCTACTATAAAAATAACAAGCTTCTGTTCTTTTGACTTTGCTAATCGATATTCTTGTTTTCAATAAGAGATTGCGTTTTTGTCTTCATTTAAAATTATTTATCAAATGATTTGATTTGAATTAATTTAATTATTTGTTTTTACTTTATTTTTCACACAGATTTAATAGCTCGACGGACCGCCTATTAAAAACCAGGGGTATAGACCACATGTGTTTCGTAAACCAATCTTGTCAAATTTTCCCCTTTACCAGGGA